ATGGGTGAGAAGCTTCAAGGGTTGGATTATTTAGTACTGAAAGGAAGGAGACAGAAGATCAATTTGGATTCATGTATATGGCCCTGAACATTTCAAAACCCACAACTTTTTGTAAATACTTCTTCATGCTCCCAAGATTGGTCACTAGGAGGGGCCATTATTCAGTTTAGCCAGAAAAAAATAAGCAAAAGCACAGGACTCTTGGGTCCAAGGACTGCCTCTGAAGCAGCCAGACCTGGGGTTTTGCACTGAAATTAAAGCACATTCAGCACAGAGACTCTTGCTTATTCTCCTGATAAGTCACCTTGTATGCCAATGGCCTTGAGCTGCTGGATTTATAAACAGGGAATTTTGAGTAGAGACAAGATCTGACTTTGAGAGCTGAACCGCTTTTTTCTCCTGCCTCAGCATCAGTCATAGAGACTGGAAATCTATCTTCTTGTTCCCTGATCCTTCACAGACAAGGTGATGCATACCTCTCTGGAGCTGCAGCTTCTAGCTTTCTGTGGGTGAGTGGCAAAAGACCATGGGTCAGATCAGGCCAGCTGCATCCCAGGGCCTGACAAAGTAGGATAAGGTCCATTTGGTACTGTCCCTCTCTCTGTTCCAAGACAGTAAGTTTCCTTGGTAGGGGCATGCTGCAGAGGGCCCTGAGGACCCCAGCATAGAGTTCCCAGTCCACAAGAGTCCTAAGAAGCAGAAAAGCATGGAGGAATAATTAGCCTCCTCTCCATTAGGCATCTAGCTTTTTGCTAATGAAGAGGTTCCTTTGTTCCTTCAGACCAGAGTTGCAGAAGCCTCATCCCAACCCCCCATTTGAGATTTCCCTTTGCAGTGTCCCAATCCATGGAGCTCCTCTGGAATACATATGAAGGTGTTCAAATTTTCATAAACCTAGTAAAACTGGTTTCCTTTCCTTTTCATCAAGCCTTTCTATCACTGTGACTATTTGAAATTCTACCAAGGACAAAAATCAGTGTCTGACTCTAAGGTTTGAGAAAATGTTTCTTCCAGTCATTTCTTCTTGGCTGCACAGAATTGAGCTCAGTGCTTTTTACAAGCACCACCCACTCCACCCACTACCAATGGAGGTGAAGGTTATGTTTATGCTCTTCTGAAGACTACTTGCCCTAGGCCTATTTTTCACCAAACACTCCTCTTCCTTATGCTCAGATTTAAAAACAGGGGCATATGAATGACACAGTGGAGCTGCAGGGACAGAGGGTAAGCTGAGGCAATAGCTGTGACCACATAACCTCTCCAGGTCTGCTTTGTGACTTCCTCTTCTGAGACCAGCCTTCTGCAACAGCAGTAGGCTCTGTGCTTTGAGTACAAAGGCCCCCTTGGATCCAGAGATGGAGCAGTTCCCTTGCTCCCAGGTACTGGCCCACTCTGAGTGCTTTTCTTCCTTTGAGAAAGCCAAAGCCATGAGCACATTGCCTCTTCCCACCTTCAGCCCAAGTGACTGGGACTACAGGGTAGACGCTGGCCTTTTTGGCCCTGGTGCTCCCTATGGGATGTCACCCTGGCCTTGTTTGAGTGGCCAGATCTGGGAGTTTCCCCATTCCTATCATTAACATGGTAGGCACAGGATCAAACTGCCTGAGCAGAGGGCACCTCACTGGAGAGTGAGCCCAAGATTGTGCCTAGGCCTGTTAGTCTGAACCATGGCCTCAACCATTGCAAGTTTCATGGCTTCAGTAAGAGTGGTGCAAGGAAGCCCTAAATCCAAGAGGGAAGCTCAGCATAAGCTGTCTGGTGGGGGCCCAGGATAGCCATGACCACCCCAGAGCCAAGAATAACCTCCAGGCAGGACTGGTAGCAGACTCTAGTGATCCTACAATCATGACCCCTTCAAACTAGCCGAGTAAAGGCAGATATATACTTGGCACTAAAAGGCAGAGCAACATCTTGGCAGCACCTGTAACCATAACCCTTTTTATTCCTCAATTTACAGTATAATAAAATTGCTACTTTTCCCATGCCACTTAGTTTCAATATGCCCAGGGTCTCTCTCTCTCTCTCTCTCTCTCTCTCTCTCTCTGGGCTCCTGGCTACAGCTCAGAGAACAGAGATCTCCTGGATGGAGAATAGAAAATATTAATGCATCATGCCTGTTCCCTATAGCTCAGTCCTGGAATGGGGTAGGATTAGGCATTTCCCCTGCTATTGCTTTCCTGCTGCCACTGCTTTTGGAAACCTTGAAAGGAAAAAAAAAATAAACAGGTGACAGAATTTCCACTAGACCCAACTAGCACTAAGGAAAACCTTCCTCCTGAGCCACATGTCCTGATGACTCAGATTGTGGACAGGGTATCACATATGTCTGGGCCAATAACTAAGAAGCCCAGTCACATTCTAGTTTGCATAGCATGTGTTGACATGACCATAGATGAGAATATCAAGGTATAAGCAGCAAGACCTTTTCATATCCATGTGAAACAAAGGCCTTCAAGCTTAGCCTTCTTTAAGAGATGGCCTACGATCTATCTACCTACCAAACACAAGGTTGTGAGGGGGCCTCTGAGAAAACTCAAGCAACTAGGGGGGGTCCAATGCCCTCTAGTCCCTCATGCCCTTCCTATGTTCTTTTCTGTGGAAGGTAACTTGACAGTAAGCTAAGGGGAAAATCCCCAAGCCCTGTCTTCCCATCACTACAGCTGCATGTTCCTCCCTATGGCTCAGCCTTCACTCCTGAAGGAGCTGATGCTCCCAGAGGCTGGGCACAGTGGAAATCATAATAAAGAGATTGTGATGCTATTTTGGCTTCCTGTTTCCTATTATTTGGGGCACCTGCTGAGTTTCTATGTGGCTTCCTATAATTGGCCAATTCCTGAGTCTTAAGATAGGAGCAGCCATGGCCTCCAGGAAGAATGCAACACACCGTGACTCTCTTTCTAGGGTTTTCCTGGTGCTGACCTTCCCAGGAATCAAGTGATTCCACTTGATTCACCATTTACACAGAGGGGAAATAAAAGCACTGAAAAGAAAAGCCAGAACTTTCTAAGAAAGGAAGAGGTAAGGCCTCCAAGCCTGTCTACTATGTATTCTACCACCACCACAACCAAGGGCCAGTTTTAGATACATTTCTCTTCCCAATTCCTGCTGGGCTACAAAGTAGGAAAGCTAGCTGGCTATGTTTTCTCCTAGTCTGAGTCCTTCTTGGTAGAGAATTTCTTCCCATTTTTTCAGTGTTTAAATTTTTTTAATGTTTATTATTTGAAGAGAGATAGAGACACAGAGTGTGAGTGGGGGAGGGACAGAGAGGGAGGGAGACACAGAATCTGAAGCAGGCTCTAGGCTCTGAGCTGTCAGCACAGCTCAGATCATGACCTGAAGTTCGTGACCACAAGATCATGACCTGAACCGAACTAGGCAGCTTAACTGACTGAGCCATCCAGGTGTCGCACAGTGTTTTAATGTGATATGACAGGCCGGGTAAACTAAGGTCTGGAGAAGCTTTCAGACGACTGAAATCCCCTTTCGTTTCCTTTATCTGATAAGAACAGAGCCAGTACTTCTAGGCAGGAAAGTATTTCTAGATTGTGGATCAGAGGCAGATACTCTACCTCTAAATCACAGGGGTCCCAAGTACAAATAATTGCTAAAATTTTCAAACACTTCTATGCACTGGTCAGTTCTTTTTTTAAGTTTTTACTTATTTATTTTGAGAGAGTTGGGGGGGGGGGGCAGAGAGAGGGAGAAAGAAAATCCCAAAAGAAGCCCTGCTGTGGGGCTTGAACTCACAAACTGTGAAATTATGATCTGAGATGAAATCAAGAGTTGGACAGTTAACCGATTGGGCCACCCAGGTGCCCCTGTACTGAGCAGTTCTAAATACTTTACATAAAACTATCTTCAAAACAACCCTAAGGTTTGTATTACAGATTAGAAAAGTAAGGAATAGAGGCTGAAAGTTTCTCAAAGTTACACAGTCACACAGCTAGGAAACGGGAACCAGGTAGTCTGGGCTTCAGTACTCATGTTCTTAACCACTTCATTGTGCTGCCTGTCAGAGTACACCTCAAGGAAACAGCTGCTGTGTGGTCTAGCATATCCCCTTTCCACCCTGGGAACAGACACGCAAGCAGCCAGTCCTGTAGCCATGTCACAGGATTTCCTACAACCTGCACAACCCACCCCATTTACTCACATTACTCCCATACCTCTCCTCCCTGGAGTTTTCAAATGGAGGTCCATCAGGCTCAGAGACATCTTGAGATCTTAAGGGTCCCTTCTCTTGCCTTCCAAGTTCAATGAAGGCAAGCATTAGCACAGAAAAAGAGACATAAAAGCAGGGCCTCTGTGGACCCTAATGAAAAGCAAGATTTCCCCACCCTCAGTCGGGTAATCCTGATGAACTTTAGACCCTCTTAGGACTATTCCCTCTCCTAACTGCTACTTGTTCCCATGGCTAGCTGGAGCCTCGGCTCTACACAAACTTCCACTCACCCTGCCCTGTTTTGGCTCAAATGCACTCCTCTTATCTCTATGGAAGTCATTCTTCAAAGGGGAAAGAGTAAATTGCTAATTTGATAAACATGGAATAGTGTTCTCTCTCCCACCCCACTCCAGCTTGGAGTTTGACCTTGCTGAACCTGTTTCCTCATCTGCAAAAGTCTGGGAAACAATTCCTGTCCTGTCTCTGGGGCTGATAGTTGAGTGAAGACAAGAATGAGTTTGGTAAGAGGAAAGAGCTTTATACACTATAAGGCACTACGTGAGCAGCAAGGATTTCTGGCCCCATTTAAAAGCTGTGTGTGTATCATCTTCCACACACCCACAGTCACAGGCATAACCAGGGGGTACCGCCAATGGCCTCTGTCCACAGTGCTGAAGTCATAGTCAAACCAGCTGGGGATCTTCAGTCCCTTTTTTTTTTCCTTTTTGTTTTCTTTTTTCTTTTTCTTTTTTTTTCTGGTTTCTTTTTTTGGTAATATACTAATTTATTCATATATACATTCACTTTACATTATTACATTTCAACATTCATCAAAACCAAAAATGTGGAATGCTTCATGAATTTGCATGTCATTCTTGTGCAGGGGCCATACTAATCTTCTTTGTATGGTTCCAAGTTTAGCACATGTGCTGCTGCATGCAGCAAGCACTTCAGCCCCTCCTGTTCCACCTTTAAGTAAACATAAATGCAGAGATTTCCAAGCCTGCATTGTCCTAAAATGCAGAAGGTACTGCAAAAATGCTTGTTTCACTTATTTCAAGTATCTTTGCTTTTTAAAAATAAATATAACACTCTCTCAAAATTGTAACATTTGGATAATTGTACAAATGGGCAAGATGTGATCCAGCAGCTCAAGAAGAGGAGGCTGTAGTCTTCACTTGATACAGGTGAACAGTATGAGGTAGCTACCAAAAAAACTGATGTAACATGAGGCTATGTAGAGAGAAGTTCAGGGTCAGAAGTGGAAGGCAGGCTGGCTTGTTTGTACACTGTACCAGCACTCCTGGAAAAAGCTGATCAGAGCCAGGCACCATTAACTGAAACCCAGCCAGGGGAGCATGGTGTTGGGGGCTGGAATGGAGCACGGCAGAGGAGGAAACCATGAAAGCCTGAAAGGTGTCTCACCCTGGAGAGAAGCAGGCTTGAAGGATGTAGATGGCTGATGTCTGGCAGATGGGACCCATAAGGTCAATGTGACCTCAGGACAGAGCTAAGACCAAAAGTGCAGGGGTGGCAGATTTCTGCTCAATAAGACCAAAAGGTAACTGGATACTAGGGAAGGTAGTGAAGCTGTATAAGCATATAACAAAACTGTTGAGTTGGGGGTGGATATTTACCAAGCATCCAGCCCTCTTGAGACTCATGTCGCCTGTAAATGGTTAAGCACCTTCTGGTGCATGCCCAGCGCTAATAAGTCCAGCTGAGCTGGAGGCAGATTCAAGATTATAGAGACCCACATGACCACAGAACATTAGAAAAACTGGGTTGGGAAAATTAATTTCTTTAGTCAACTTCATAGACCAACTGTTTTGCCTACAGCTCTGGGTCCTAACCTGAGAGAAGAGTTAAGGTCTCAATACACAGGCTGTCCCTTTCCAGGATGGGCTCTGGAAAGCTTGTCTCTAGAACCTGATGTTGCCCGCCCTCTGCTGGTCATTTCTAGCACTATTCTCTTGCTCCAAGGAAAGAAAGAACTCCTCTGAACAGTTAGGATACTGGTCAGTGTAGGTTTAGAACAACCAAGTGAGGGGCGCTTGGGTGGCTCAGTCAGTTGAGCACCCAACTCTTGATTTCAGCTCAGGTCATTATCCTAGGGGCATGAGATCAAGCCCTGCATTGGGCTCTACTCTGAGGATGCAGCCTGCTTAAGAGTCTCTCTCTCTCTCTCTCTCTCTCTCTCCCTCCCTCCCTCCCTCCCTCTCTCTCCCTCCCTCTCTCCCTCTCCTTCTGCCCCTCTCCCCTACTCGCACTCTCTCTCTCTAAAAATTAAAAAAAAAAAAAAAAAAAAAAAGAACAACTAGGTGAGTACCAGCGAGTTAGATCACTGGTCAGTGTTCAGTCAGCATACAGGATCAGAACTGAATCTGCAGCTGAGTTCACGTACCTGTATCAAAATAAGGGCTCATCCATGTCTAGAAGGGCTTAAGCTAAGGCTAAGTTTGAGGAAATGTCTGGTCCAGGATTAAGACCAAGGTCAGCGTCTCAGGCTGAGGTCAAAGTTGACACTCAGTGTAGAACTGAAGTCTGGGTCCAAGTGTCAGCATGCAGTATGTATCCAGGTGTGATACTAAAAGTCTGACCTCAGGAAGGAGTTAGTTGGCATCTAGGGGTCAATGTAGCATTCTTATACAGGATGGAAGCATCAAGTAATAAGCACCAGCCACAGGAGAATTCAAGCAGAAAATATTGCCAGGGGAAAAGTATAAGAGTTGGGGGACAGGGGCGCCTGGGTGGCTTAGTCGGTTAAGCGTCCGACTTTCGCTTAGGTCATGATCTCGCAGTTCGTAGGTTCGAGCCCCGCGTCGGGCTCTGTGCTGACTGCCAGCTCAGAGCCTGGAGCCTGTTTCGGTCTGTGACTCCTCTCTCTCTGACCCTCCCCTGCTCTCTCTCTCTCTCTCCTAGGAATTAAAAAGAAAAAAAAAAAGAGTTGGGGGACAGAATGAAGGAGTCATTAGTTTCTAAGGACCTCTCAACCTTAAAAACGGTAACAGGCAGGCTAGAGCCATGGTCTCTTCAAAAGGTAGATCCCAGTATTCCAATTCCAACTTCCTGTGAAAGCCTCCTCACCAACAATAGTATTGCCACATACAAATCACAGGTACAATCTGGGGACAGGAGAGGTCCAAGGACCAGTCCTGTCACTGCAGAGAGGTGGCAGCTGTGGGGGTAGTCTTGCTTTCCTCCCCCCCCCCAGATTCTCTGTTTCTACTAGCAACAGGGCCTGGCAGCCTCCCACACCCAGATCTTAGCAACCGTGGGAGCCCCTGGCAACTGCTGCCATGGCAACAAGGCAGGGAACTAAGAATGGGCTGGGTGGGGGGAGCACTTCCTCTGAAGCCTTCAGGATATGTGCAAGATAGGGGGCTCCCCTCCCATACACAGTCTGGGAGGGAACATGTGCTCCTGTCTAAACACCTCCTTAGCGGCACCCACCTCCGCCCCTGCCCCCAGGTTCCGGTTCCCTCAGGGTGAGAAAATGAGGGACACCTAGGGTTATGACGTCTCCATAGAGAGGGAGGGTGTATGCGGGTGTTCAGAACTGATGTGATCACAGATTCATGCATACACTGGGCAGACATGATGTCAACATGTCAACTTCCATGAAGCTGTTTGTTCATGTCGACACAGACCTACACAGTCATTCAGTCACACATGTATACTAACACAAAATTACATACACAGCAACTAATACAGAATCAGGCACACTACCACACAAAAATACTGCACAGATACACTCTCACTTACAAACCACATTACAGATACAACAGGACAAATAACCCCAATCAGACTCAAACATCAAACAGATGCACTCACACATCCAGACATCTGTGAATATACGGAGTAACAGTTAAGTTTGCTGAGCATTAACTACATACCAAGCGCAGAACTAGATGTATATGTTACCTTAATTAACCTTCACAACAACCCTGTAAGGTACTGCCTTTTTCTATACCCATTATACAAAGAAAGAAATGAGGCGCAGATGTGGCAAGTAAACTCACAAGGTCAACAGAGCCTACCTTCTTACACCTAGGCCACACTGTGCACCCTGCTTCCTAACACACACCTGATACGTAGGGCAACAGGACATAGGGTGGCCATAGAGAACCCAGCAGACAATGGGGTCCACGCCACCAGCACCTGAAGGAATAGGTGCTGCAACCCTCCCCCGACTGCAACCACCATGGGCGCGTAGACCCCCCACCAAGGTCTAAGCCCACAACATAGTGTAGGCAGGGACCAGGTAAGGACCAGTGACTAAACTCTGCCTCCGCGTTGGCACAGGCAAGGCTGGAGGAGGCAAAATAGAACTGGAATGAGAAGTAGAGCCACCCACAGCCCAGGCCCCCATAAGTCTGGAGGTCGGGGAGTGAGAGCCCCCAGATCTAAAGAGCCAGCACCAGTCCTGGGCCCCCTCACCGTACCTTGCCCGTCTCCCTGTCACACTGTTTCATTCCCTCACCACCCCATCTCTCCTCCCTTCTACTCTTTGGTCCCCACTTCTCCTTCCCTTCTCATCCCCTTTCCTTACCTCCCACCCTCTCTCTCCTCCCCTCCCCTTCCCATCCCCTCACTCTCATTCCTCATCTTCCCTCCCTCCTCTCATTCCCCTCATCCCACCTCTTCTCCATCCTCCTCTTCCACTTCCTTTCCTTACTTCACAGCTCATCCCCCTTTACACCTGGGATCGCCATTGCTGAGTACTAGCAAGAAGGGAGACAGTGGGGATTACGCAGACCTCAGGACCCCCTAGACCTCTCTCCTGCTCTGCTCTGCTCTGTAGGCCAGGTATTGATGTTCTCCAAGCCTGTTTCCAGCTCTATTCAGATTGTGTGAACTCATGGGTGTCCAAACGGTTTCTGGGAAATGACAAAGAAAGGGAAGTGAGAACTTCTGCCTGGCCCTTCCTTTGTCCTCAAACCCCCCAAGAATTCCTTCCCTCTCTTCACCCCCGGATTACCCCCTCCCCACCCCCGCTCCCTGTAGCACAGATGGGCCTGGGAGACAGTGACGTGGGCGCCAGGCACCGTGTCTGCTGAAGCGTCGGCTTCCGCTGGATACCGCCTCCGCAGCCCTGCCTGCTCTGAACACCGGGGACACTAGGGCTGAGATTTTAATGGGGGGAAGGAGGGGGTTGGGATTAAGATGGGAGATTCTGAGTGTGTGTTAAGGAAATCATGTGGAGCTGTGATGAAGGGTTCGGGGGGAGCTAGGATTGGGGCGATCATGGGAGTCATAACAGATTAAGGCTAGGATAAAACAGAAGATCATGGGTGGGGGTGGGGGGAACAGGAGATATATCCAGCCAAGAAGAGGAGAAAGAAAAGGTGGGCTACAATTTGGGAACTCAAGGAGGAAGGAAGATGAAAGATTACAGAGAGAACGTTAATGAGGATTGTGGGGGTTGCTGAGGAGGGGCTGCACACAAGGGGGCTGGAACGAGGGGATTATACAGAGGATGAAAAGGGGACGCAGCATGGGAATCAGGAATCGTGGAGGCGCTAAAACTGGGAAGAATTACCAAGTTACAAAGGAGAGAGGGGAAGCGTGCTTAAATTCTGCATGTCTACTGGGGTTTGTTTTGTTAGGTCACCTCAGGTCAGTGCTGGGTCAAGGTAAGGTAAAGCTAAATCAGGTCTGGTCGAGGTCGGTTTACAGTTCTGATGGAAGACAGGTAGGAAGGGGTGACCTTTTGACCCTGGTCGAGGAACTACCAAGGTGCACTATTCGCTCCCCGACCCTCCTAAATGAAGAAAGGAAAGAGTGCCCAGAAGTCACCGCCAACTGGTAGGCAGTTTTCCTTTAAGGCTGCCTTTGACGTTACACAGGTTCCAGAAGGTTCTCCCGGGATTCGAGCGGTGGCCAGTACGTCCCACCTTCTCAAACCCAAGATTGGACTAATATAGTTGCCCCCAGTCTCGGGTCTGA